GGGGAAGTGTTGAGATTTACAGGGAAAAAAAATACAGGTTCCTTTGTGTCCGGCACTTAGAACTGAAAGAAATGGGGAAAGCCAAGCAGGGAGAACTCTTCCGTCTCCTCACTGAGCTCACACACAGGTCTGCATTTTTCATCGGGAGCCCTCTCAGGTTTGCAGACAGGCTGAAGGTGCCCCATAATAGGATCACAGCCATTGAATTAAATTTTTTTAAGAGTAATTACAGAAAAAGAGTGGACTGAAATGACATTCAGCATTTCTTTCCTTAATACTCTATGATGCCAAGGAAAACCAACAAATCTATTTACTATCCAAACTCCCAACACACACTTACATAGACATTTAAATTTAGGCACCACTGAAAATAAATTCATTATTGACATACTTTTACAAGAAACATGAAAACATAAGTTGTACAAAATTAGGCTCAGTTTATCATCACCCTGATGTTTTCTTTGGCAGGGAAAAGAAAAAAAAAAAAGCTACTAAAAGGGAACCTAGTCAATCAAGCCACAGACTACATTTTCCCTGTAGGGTTCTCTCAAAGCAGGGTAATGAAGGGCTCTCTTTTCTCTTAATACCTAAGGCTGGAAATTCCTAGACAACAAAAGTGACAGTAGTATCTCAATGTATCTCATTCATTCTGGCAACGTCTGGACTTTAAGTGAAATAAAATGTTGCCTTGATCTTCTAAGGAGGATTTCAGCTTTAGAAAGACATATTTTTAATAAGGTGTAAGCGGCGCGTAGGGTGGTGGGAAATTTCACTGGGCCAGGAGTCGGGGTCTTGGGATCCAGTCCTGGGTCTGCCACTAGACAACCTAAGAAACTGGCAAGATGCTGGCTCTCCAAGTCTCAGTTTCCTCTCTGTAAAGTTCATATGTAAGCTTCTTTTAAGCCAGAGTTTCTCTACGTATTTTTTAAAGCCCATCAGCATCAGAAACACCCTGGAGCAAACACCTGAATTTTAATGCACTCCTGAGGTGTTCCTTATACACAGTCAAGCTTGAAAGCCACTGCCTCAAGCTCTAACGTGCTATGACCCTGTGCGTTCACTGAGCAGCCCGGTGTATTCTTAGAACCGCGCTAGATGCTTGGGGGACGCAGAACAGTACGAGGCCCCTATCACGGAGCTTCCTACTTCATTAGACAAATAAGATGAACACGTTTGAAGTACACCAAACAATTTCACATAATCTGTACTAGCAATAAATCAACTACTGAAAATCTTAAACGCTGAAGGGGTATGGAGGAGGCATCACCGACTAGGGCTGAGGTAGCAGAGGCTGTGTGGAAAGGGAGAGGAAAGAGACTGCGCAGGACCCAGCGGGTGGGTAGGACTTTCACGGACAGTGTGAGAGGGGAGCACAGCCGCTCCCAGGAATGCGCATGGACTCCCAGGGCTGGGCGGGGACAGAGCTGCGGCCAGGGTAATAGGTTCTGGTTGTGAAGTGGCCGGGAATACCTCTGGATTAGTGAGTAACAGGGCAGCCAAAGGGCACCTCCAAGGCAGCCTGTCTGAACGCTGGCTCTTCTTCCTCCCCTGATAAACTTACCCTCCTCTTCCTAAGCCAGAAATGCGTGCGTTTCCCTTGTCTGTC